AAAAAAAAAAAAAAAAGTGAACTGTTCCCTTTCCCATCTGAGGAGCCACTGGTAATAGTGGTTTTAGACCTTTTTATATGCATATATTAAAAACAGATATATATTTTTGGTGTTTTTTTTTTTTTTAAGATTGTATTTATTTATTTGACAGAGAGACCGTGAGAGAGGGAACACAAGCAGGGGGAATGGGAGAGGGAGAAGCAGACTTCCCGCAGAGCAGGGAGCCCGGTGTGGGGCTCGATCCCAGGACCCTGGGATCATGACCTGAGCCGAAGGCAGACGCTTAACGACTGAGCCACCCAGGTGCCCCGGTGTTTTTTTGTTTTTAATTGAAAAGATCTATACTGTTCTAAAACCTGCCCCTTTTCCACTTGATACATGACATCCTTTTCAGCCATCCATATGCAAATGACTCAGGCCACATTTCATGATACAGATTTATCACAGCTCTCCTGTTAGGTATTTACATACTTCGTTTCATTATCACAACAAATAATCATACAATAAGCATCACTGTGCAGACAACTTTCCATACTCCTATAGAACAGAGCTGTCTTACTCTGATCGCTGAGTTAAAGGGTATCCATATATTAAATAGGGATAATACAGGCCACATTCTTCTCTAGAATTGTATCATTTTCACTTCTAACAGTGTATCAGAGTGTTTTTCCTCCATATCCTCAAAAAGATTGGATGTAATAGCCTTTTGCCATCCTGATGTAACTAAGTTTGTACTTTCCCTTTTTAACAAAAGAAATGGATATTTCACTAAATGAGATTGAGCATTTTTTCATGTCTGTTATGAACTGAATCATGTTCCCCCCAAATTAGTATGTTGAACCTCTAACCCCCTCTGTGACTACATTTGAAGATAGGGTCTTTAAAGGGTAACTAATGTTAAATGAGGTCATAAGGGAGGGGCCCTAGTCCAATATAACTCGTGTCCTTATGAGAAAAGGACACCAGAGAGATGCAGGTGTACACAGAGCAAAGGCCATCTGCAAGCCAAGGAGAGAGGCCATGGGAGCCAAACCTGTTGACATCCTGATCTTGGACTTCCAGTCTCTAGACTGTGAGAAACAAATTTCTGTTGTTTAAGCCACCCAGTCTGTGGTATTCTGTTATGGTAGCCCTAGCAAACTAATATGTCATATAATGTTTCTTCCATCAGCTGCCTATTGATATCATATGCTCACATATCTACTGGGTGGTGCTGTCTTAATGACTCAAAGGACTTTGGAATACTGGATGATACCTCTTTAAATGCCCTGTAAAAACATGTTCTAAATATAAGACTGAAAATGAAGCTAGAATCTTTGAGATTAGTATCCATATAATTGAAATTATGACCCTATACCAACAACACATCCAAATTACTCTTCCAGTATATAGAATTTACTTTCCCAATACCTAACCAAAATTGGCATTTGACAGAAGAAATCACAAAATACTCTTCAACTCCCTGAGACAGTCAAATGGGTCAGTATAAGAGCAAATCAATTTGATCTAAAATGGAAAGACTCTTGAAGAGATACTAAAAATGCATGAAAAATCTTAAAGCAGAATAATTTGTTTCTCTCACTTCATTTTTTACCCCAGTAGTCTATAGTATTTCTACTGTATGGACTGTACCACAATTTGTTTATTCATTCACCTGTGAAAAGATATTTGGGTTGTTTCCAGTTTGAGTCTTTTATGTCTTAATTGTTTTACTTACTAAAATTCCTCCATGAGACATACAAAGGTTCTCCTGGTTCCTGATGAAGGTTGATATTATCCCATAATAGCTGAATATACACAAGTTTGCTATCCTGGGACAGAGATGATAGGGGAAGCTAAAAGAGATCAACAAAGTATTAGCACCCTACACATAACAATAATTACCAGTGGATCTAGAAAGTTTGATTATATAAAACAAAGGAGTTCTTTCAAAACTCTGGACCTAAAATTCTAAGCAAAAATTTTAATTTTTATTTGTATCTGATGATAAATATTCCTATTTTCTGAAGTGCAAGTTTCTCATTCCTACTTCCACAGACTGGAAAGACAACTTGGTAGCTGGCACAGTGGCCACATGGAAGATTAGTCACTTTTACAACAATTTCAAGGTAAGAGAAAGTACAGTAGCTTCTGCTATGTTGTTGTGCAGACTGTTACTTAAATGAGTCAAAGAGACTGTAATACTTTAAGCGAAGATTGTGTTTCACCCCTGGTGAATGTTGGGGTGTCTCTCAGTAATCAGTATCATAAAATGAAGGAACTCCAGGAAGCTCAGTGTCTCCCATGCAATCAGGTGCCCCAGCACGAGGACAGCAGGGGCTATAGAGTCAGACAGGCAGACTGTGGTCTGGGCTCCCCATCACGCAGTAGGTAAGGGACCTTGCGGAAATTACTTCTCTAACTTTTAATTATATCATCTGAAAAATATGGGCAAGAGGAGGCCTGTAAAATAAAGTTTTGAGAATTTCAGCTGGAGATTGATAGTTCAGAATAAAAACTACCTTTTCTAGCCACCCTCGCAACTAGATATAACCATATAACTGAATTCAGGCCAAACAGATATGTAGATAAATGTTACGTGCCACTCTAGGAACTATCCCTAGAGAAAGAAGACGTACTCTTCTCCATCCATTTTTATCCTTACTGCTGGCTGGAATGTGGATGTGATGGTTGGAAATAGAGCAGCCATCCTGAACCAGGTACAGAACTTGGAAATAGAGGTTATGCACAGCTGACCAAAAAGACAGAAGGATCTCACGTACCTAACATTTTACCATTCCAGGACCACGTAACCCAAACTTTTATGTGAGAGAGTAGTAACATACATCTTGTTAAGGCATTGTTGTTGTATACTCTGTTACTTGAAGTTAAGCCTCACTCCAACCAACCCCAGTGTAGTGTAAGTATGCAGGTCGGTACCCTACCTGTACACCTCCATTACAATGTTCGGATGTGAGGATGAGTCCTGGCAAGTTACTAGCAAGGTCCAAACGTCTGAAATACCAAACGAGGTTCCAGAAAATGATTGGATGTTGATTGATGAAAGAGGATGTGTGAATCACTTGATCACCTTCATTTTCTAGCAAAGATTCAAGTTCTTTACGAAGCACTAGAGGACTCAAGTAGGGCACAGAAACAGGGGGAGGATTGGGTCTTTTTCCTAAAGGATCCTTTAAAAAATAAAAATAAGGAAGAAACGAGTATTATCTATTCTGTATGTTTAAGAGTACTTCTCAGTGAGATTATGCTTTATCTATCCTTTCAAAATCAGTGATTTCAGAACCAGTGCTACATGCAGTATACCCTAATGAAAACCTAAAAAAAGAAAAAAATACTTAAATGCCCTTAAGTTAAAGGATTACAAAAGAAAATTAATCCATATAACAGACTCTATTTTAAACATTGAGAGTTTCTCTATTTTTCTAAGGAACACTACATTTCAGATGTTTTATAATGATTTCCCCCAAAAAGTAGACTTTATCTTCTTTCTAAAACTCTAAACAGATGGAGCAATCTGTGTTAGTACTTGATGACTCCTTTTACAATTATATCTACTTGTAAAAGCTTGTTTTTACATTTGATTACAACAAAAACTACAGTAGTTAAAGAGCAGTTGTACAAAAGAATCCAATTTAGGGGCGCCTGGGTGGCTCAGTCATTAAGCGTCTGCCTTCAGCTCTGGTCGTGGTCCCAGGGTCCTGGGATCCAGCCCCGCATCGGGCTCCGGGCTCCCTGCTAGGAAGGAAGCCTGCTTCTCCCTCTCCCACTCCCCCTGCTTGTGTTCCCTCTCTCACTGTGTCTCTGTCAAATAAATAAAATCGTTAAAAAAAAAATCCAATTTAGTCTTTATAAGTTGTGCATATTATAATCAGACTAAAACGCTTATGACCAACTCATTGGGTACCCCTACTGCCCAGGCTGAGGTCTCCAAATACCATCTCCTCTACAAAGAACAGTGTTTCTTAGAGAAATGACTGATTCTAGGTCTAGAGAAAGAAATATATCACATGAGCATGAAACATATTATCATATAAGAAAGCAAGGAAGCTTTAAAAAAATTTATAAAAAGGCTACTAGAATTGTGTCAAAGGGACTAAGGCACCAATATGTAGAGGCTTCTAGCTGATCAAAGATGGGATAATGTAAGTATTAATAAGGATAACAACAGCAATGGATGTAAATACAAATGTTTAAATCAATGAGTTCATAATGATACCCTATTCCACCAAATTAATTGATCACCTGGGAGAATGCTAGGAACCCAACTTGTTATTTTGAAAATTGGTAAATAAAAGGAAAAAATCAGTTACCATACCTTTCCAAAATAAACTGTGTCTTTGGAAAAGCAAACAGAAAATATGGGGCAAGTTTCTCTTTATAGATGTACCCCATATAATAAAGACAATTAGACTATCACCCTTTATAGCTGGAAATGAATAACCTGATCTGGGCATTATTGAGGCATTAATAGCTACTAGCATCACAAAGAAAGTTCATGTCTTCTATTGAGGGACATCCCACCACTGCTATTGTCTTACAAAAATAAAACCACAAAACAAAAACCTGAATCTGATCAAGCTTCTAGATACAATTACCAATTTATATGATTGTAATCAACAAATAAGTTGCAAGGTTAAAGGAAGGGCCTACAGATTTAAAAAGACTAAAAAAACAAGGGCGCCTGGATGGCTCAGTCATTAAGCGACTGCCTTCGACTCAGGTCATGATCCCAGAGTCCTGGGATAGAGCCCCACACTGGGCTCCCTGCTTGGCAGGAAGCTTGCTTCTCCCTCTCCCACTCCCCCTGCTTGTGTTCCCTTCTTTAGCTCTGTCTCTGTCAAATAAATAAATAAATCTTTAAAAAAAAAAGACTAAACAGATCAACCAATTGCAATGCATAGATATTATCTGATCATTCTTCAAACTACAAAGCACACACAAACTTGACATTTTTTAAACCATTAGAAATTTGAACAAAGAGTGAATAATTTGATATTTTTTTAGTCGTATAATGGCATTGTATTTTCAAGAGTCCTTATCTCTTAGGAACTACGTAGTATACTGAAATATTTACAATTGGAATATATGATGTTTGAAGTTTGCTTCAGAAGAATCTAGGAAAGAAGTGAGTAATGGTATACATGAAAGAAGAATGGCCCTAAGGTGAAAATTACTGAAGCCAGATGGCAGGTCAAAGGAACTCATTATACTCTTCTGGTTAGTTTTGTACATACTTGAAATTTTAAAAAATTCTTAGTCTGCTTATGAAAAATTTTTATCACTTGTGGATTATGTGCTGCTCTAATAAATACTTACATGAATACACAGATAATTATAATCTTGTTACATACCACAACTTCCTGCAGACTGTTTGGGAGACTGACTGTTGAAATGCCATGAAACGGTCGCTGGGAAAAGTCAATATTTTGCAAGGGACCTCCAACACTGTGACTTCGAGTCAAAGATACATTTCGCTTTGATAAACTATTAGGCGCAGGTGAAATTTTCATAGTTTGGACTTCTCCACTGGCTCTCTTTATTTCATCACTTTAAAAAAAATGAAGAAATGTTGTGTTTGTGCTGTAACACAATCTAAACCTGTCCAGCTAGAGTATTTTCTACAACGAATTTTGAGTCTACTGAATGTACTGGAGAAGAATCAGTACCACCTTATAAGATTGACATTTCCTTCAGGCATTTTGTTAAGGGAGTCAGAAGAACAGGATGGAGTGGATGACTCCGGTGAAGGGCGGGAAGAAGACAAAGGGTACATAATAGATAGTCTTTTTAAAAGACGAAGTGCCCATTCAGTTGCTTTATTCAAACATTATTTCATCTTTATTAAACAAAATCACCTAGAATTATGCAACTATTTGGTAAGTAGTTAACCTCTACCAGGCCATGATCCACCTAAGGATAGAAACCAGATCTTTCTTATTTTTAGTGCTTAGCATAATGCTCAGCATACAACAGGTTCTCAATATTTGATTCAATCAGTATTTAAGAGGAAGCAGTATATTTCACAGTAAAGAGAATATGTCTCTGGAAACTGGCAATGACTAACCTAAAAGGGAAAAATACTTCATACGCTTGAGAAGTTCATTTTGTAAAAGAACGCTGTAAAACATTAAACATAATTTCAAAAATGGTTATCACATTCTTTCATTAGATACTTAAACAATATATCATAGAAAAAAGTTAAGATTGAATTTTTAAAATGCCAGAACTTATGCCTACATGCATCAGGTTATCTTTAAAGATGGAATTTTAATAAGGGTACCCAATTTATAATGCAGACTTCTCTGTACCCTATGGTACCTTGATTCAGTTGCGGAGGTGGTTTCTTCAGTTATGGTCTGGTTTTGCTTTGGGAAATCCATAAAATTTATCAAGTCAGGTTCTGCTGAACTAGATACAGGTTTGTGCTCTGAAGGTTCATTTGCCAATGGAATGCTGCCACTTTGTAAACTGTCACCAGAGGTACTTGGTTTCAGGAAAAAGCTAAATATGGAGCAATAAAAAAAAAGTCTTTAAAAACCTAGAACCCTCTAAAAGTCATATTTAGAATCACTTTATGATAAAACAGTCATTGATGAATTATACAATCCATAGAACTACTGCCTCTTTCAAACACACACACACACACCCTTCTATCATTCTTTCTCTCTTGTCGTAAACTTTTCAAATGAAAAAGGTCTCAAAGTCATTATAGTTCAATATAAGATCCTTTAAAGAAAGCTATGAAGATGGAAAGCAAAATATTTTATTAATTTTCTGAGTTAAAAAAGAGAGGGAGACAAACCATGAGAGACTATGGACTCCGGGAAACAAACTGACAGTTACAGAAGGGAGGGGGTGGGGGGATGGGGTAACCAGGTGATGGGTATTAAGGAGGGCACATGATGTGATAAGCACTGGGTGTTATAGGCAACGAATGAATCGTTGAACACTACATCAAAAACTGATGATGTACTATATGCTGGCTAACTGAACATAATAAACAATAGAGCAGCAATGGCATTTTAGCATGTATAAACTTATAATTGTGTATAGTATCCTCTCCCCCTGTATAGTATCCTCTTCCCCATAAATATCCATTTTGTCTCTAGTCATTTCCTCTTCCCCTTTATTCATTATTCTGTTTTCATCTTCTCTGTCCTTCTCTTTCTGGGTGGGGGTGGAGTGAGGGTTGGGCCTTGCAAGGGACACTGAGAGAAATGTCTGAGGTAATAGTAATGTTCTGAATCTTAATAAGGGTTAGATCTGCATCAATGTGTGCATTCAATTTTCAAATGATACATTTTAAATTTGCAGATTTTCTTATATACGTCTTTCTTGAAAAAGAAAAAAACTGTAAACGAATACTGAACTTTAGTTAATATGTATGCTGAAGTCTTTGGGGGAGAAGCATATTAATGTCTACATCTTCTTTTAAATAAATAAAAATATAGGACTGGTGGATGAAGGGATAGACAGTTGATAAAGCAAGTACAATAAAATAGTAACTGGAGAGATGGATATTTGGGTGTCACTGTAAGAAAAATCTTTAAACTTAGCTGCAAGTTTGAAATTTTCCATAATGACATATTGGGGAGGAAAATCAACAATGCTCCTTTATACCTACTTAGAAAATATAAGGTACTTAACATAATTTACAAAAACACAACACAAAAGGATAAGACTATGGAGAATAATTTAAAGCTTTATTAAAAGGACATAAAAGATAATCTAAAAAAATGAGATCTATACCATGTTCATAGATAAGAGAATAATACTGAAAATGTCCATTTTCCCCAGATTAATCTATACATCTAATGCTGCAATCTCAATGAAAACTCCAGCTGAATTTGGGGGTAGAAGGGCTAAAGTTGCTCTAAGCAAAATAAATAAATAAATATAAATTAAATAAATAAATAAATAAATAAATTTTAAAAATTCCATGACGGGGAGGTTACCCTATCAACCAGATGTAACACAAACAGTAATAAAAACAGATTATTGACCAAAAAAAACAGGGAACACAGAAGCAGGGTGAGGTGCGCATGGGAACTTGATATATGATAAAGGAGATGCTACCTATCAATGAAGAAAAAACAGGCTCCTTCCATGGAGGAAAATAAAGCTGTATTCCTACCATCATCCACAAACACAAAAGTGTACTCCAGATGGATTAAAGACCTAAATATCCGAGGTAAAATATAAAACTAACAAAAGAAACCTCAGGAGAAACTCTTCATGTCCTACAGATGGGAAACAACTCTTAAAACAAGACCAAAAGCCACAAATCATAAGGTGGAAAATCAATGGATAATGACATCAAAATGAGTAACTTCAAGGAATTAATATCAAGAATATTCAAGACAGACATCAACAAGAAAAATATAAAAATGGACAAGGTAAAAATATAAACAGGCAATTCATAGAAAATGTTGGAATAATTAACAAGTACGTGAAGAGATAAACTCACTAATATTGAGAGAAATTCAAACAAAAACAAGACACCACTTTATACTCAGAATACAAAAAACAAAAACTTGATTAATACCAAATGCTGGTAACAAATATACAGAAATGAGAATTCTTAGGCACTAGTAGTGGGAGTACTGCTATCTGGGAAGCAATTTTCCATTGTTTATTGAAATCATACATGAAAAGGACTCAATGACCTCGCTCCTAAGACTATTATTCTGAGAGAAACTATTTCACAAGTTCAGAAGGAGATATATTTTACAGTGCACTGCATCACTGCAGTGATATTTATAGTAACAGGGAACTGGAAGCAACTGAAGCAACAGTAGGATAATGGATAAGTAAAATGAGGTATTAACTTCCTACAGGAGAAAAGGAATAAACTAGATGTACATACAGCAACTCAGCTTTTAAACAGTAATAAAAATAGTATCAGTATTCTAATTATGTAAGTTAAAAATGAATAATCAGGGGCGTCTGGATGGCTCAGTCGGTTAAGCGTCTGCCTTCGGCTCAGGTCATGATCCCAGGGTCCTGGGATCAAGCCCCGCATCGGGCTCCCTGCTCAGTAGGAAGCCTGCTTCTCCCTCTTCCTCTGCCCCTGCTTGCACGCTCTCTCTCACTCTACCTCAAATAAATTAATAAAATCTTTAAAAAAAAATGAATAATCGTACAAAACAATGTATTTTATGAGGGTATATATTCAAAGATATCACACACGGAAGAGTCAATGTCTTTGTTGGATAAAGGAATGAGAGTGGGAATGGTAGGGGGTGGTTGAGGGTGGAGCTAATAAAAGAGGATCCTTGCACAAAGCAATGACGATAGTACATCAGAAATTAGAATATAATTTCACTCAGCTCCATACCTGAAGCTAAAAGGAAAAACTAAGCTAAGAAGAAACACCTGTATGATTAGAGATTTTTTAAAAGCAGCTAAAGGTAGACAATAATATGAAGTTTGTCTGCTCCATAAAACAAATAGGATATTAAGTATAATTACTTAAGTAAGCAGTTACCAAACTCTCAATTACTTAATGACTAATTATAGATCACCTAGTCTCTTTTCTATTGCCTAGAATTTGGTCATTTCACCGTACAGAGCACTACCATAAAGGCGCAACAAGTTAGAAGAGCCAAAAAAAACCCCATCCCTCGCACCTTTATTTTTTCTTCTAGAAGATATAAAGTCATTGAGAGGGGCGCCTGGGTGGCTCAGATGGTTAAGCCTCTGCCTTCGGCTCCAGTCATGATCCCAGGGTCCTGGGATCGAGCCCCACATCGGGCTCCTGGTTCAGCAGAAAGCCTGCTTCTCCCTTTCCCTCTGCCTCTCTCCCTGCTTGTGCTCTCTCTCTCTCTCTCTATCTCTCTGTATCTGTGTCTCAAATGAATAAATAAAACCTTTAAAAAAAAAAAAAAAGTCACTGAGAAAGTAAGCTTAAAATAATGATAAACATTAAAGTTCTGAATGCTCTATAAAGTTTAGCTCCAAGGATTACTACTACTGATAATTGTGTGTTAAGTAAACTGGAAAAGTAGTCTCCTATAGTACCAGTATTTTCTACTCCAATACTGAGAGTGAAGGAGAGAGAGGAAAGGGACAGCTGGAGTGTGCCAAGACTATTTCACTCTTCCCCCAGGAGTCATGCCTTCTGGGAGGGCACTCACCTCTTAAGGGAGCTTTTACAATACTAACCTTGCAGAGCCTCTCAAGTCTTTAAATTCTATATTGAGAAGAGGCAAGAAGTTGCTTTTACAGAATGGACAGGTTGTATTCAAATTTGAATCATCTGCCGTCCATCCAGCCATAATTTCTTCATCATAAACTAAAGCTCCACAAGCTCTGCACTGTGAACAACTTGACATCAAAACCTAAGAGTAAAAAAGTGCAGACACTGAGAACCTCCACAGTGAAAAGTAATCTTAATAGGCCATCCTCTTGAGACACATAATTTTATTTTGTTGATCAAATTTAGAATTAACAGTTCAATCACTTTACAGATAAAACTACCAGTTTATTGCCTTACTTACGTAAAGCATGAAGCAAATTCAACAAGATGATTTACTGTTCTTTCTACAAGGGTATCATAGAATTCTGTTAAGTGCCATTCTGAAATAAACATGTTTACAACCATTTTATCATGTACAGAATATAGAACTTTTACCTCCATTGCACAATTCTGATAGATGCTAGACATGCTGGTGTTTTGAGAAGAGCCATGGTCTGATTTTTCACAGTCCTGCCCTTTTATGCTTCTTGGAAATGGAGGTTCACCTAAAGAGAAGTAAATATAACACATTATATGAGAATGTCCTTATTCTTTGGAAATGCATACTAAAGTATTTAGGGGGAGTATGATGAAGTCTGCAATTTATTTTCAAACAGTTCAGTATAAAAATCTCTGTAGTATATATCTAAAGTTAACAATAGTTAAATCTAAGTGGAGAATATAGGATCGTTCATTATATGATTCTTTCAACTATTCAGGACATTAGAAATTTTTCATAACAGAATGTTGGAAAAAATAAATAGAATTAAAATTTCTTTAAAATAACACAGCACTAAGAAATTTCAGGGACACAGCCCAGGTATTCTCAAACTCTGGTATTCATTTGATTTATCCAGAGAGCTGGTTAAAAATATATATTCCTAAGGTCCCAATCCCACAAATTCAGTCTCAAAAGTCTTAGCCTAGAGTCTGGACATTTGCCTATATTTTTAAATAAATTCTCCATGTGATTTGGACACACACTAAAGTTTGAAACCAATGACAGAGTCCACAAATACAACTAAGGTGACTGTCATACTTAGAGATCATATAAAATAAGTGGATAGTATGGTGTGGCTCCATTAAAAATCTATCCGCTCATCTCAACAGATGGGGCTTACTGTGCATGAGGTAGGGGAGGGAAAGGTGTGTGCATACGAATGAGTCCCTCCCATACCTGTTGAGTACTGCAGTTTTCCCACATCCCCGCTGCTGCTGCTACTGCCAAGGCTTGTGTTGCTCTGGGTGAGTTCACTGGGAACCAACCCAGAAATATTCACGTTAGGTGACACATTCTCCCCCAAAATATGGTCTTCGAGGCCAGCTGGGAAGCTGTAATCTCTGTTAGTTTCCTCCTTTAATTGAAAAGAATAAAACCCCACATACATAAATAATATCTTCTCCAATGAGAATATAGTCATGCTGCCCTTTTCAGAATTAAACTTCTCTAGAATCCTGAAATAAATTATCATCCCCATAGTTTTCAAAACTGTTCTTGAACTGTTCTCCATATTATTTGGAATTTCGTTTCCACACTCTTAAGATATTCAAGCAATGACCTACAATACTTTAAGATTTTGTTTCACCCCTGGTGAATGTTGGGGTGTCTCTCAATAATCAGTATCATAAAATGAAGGAACTCCAGGAAGCTCAGTGTCTCCCATGCAATCAGGCGCCCCAGCACGAGGACAGCAGGGGCTATAAAGTCAGACAGGCAGACTGTGGTCTTGGCTCCCCAGCACACAGTAGGTATGTGACCTTGCGGAAATTACTTAACTACTCTTTTAATTATATCATCTGAAAAATATGGGTAAGAGGAGGCCTTTAGAACAAAGTTGCCGTGAGAATTTCAGCTGGTAATATGATTTTCAGAACCACCATCATCAATATTAGAGACATAAAATAAGAATAAAGTTCCAAAAACTATAGTTCTGAACTCAGTGACTGCTGATGCTTTAGTTTAGATAGAAAACATTTCAATAAGCAGTTTCCTTTTTGATTTCTACTTGAAAGAAGACTCATGTTGGGGCGCCTGGGTGGCTGAGTCAGTTAAGCGTCTGCCTTCGGCTCAGGTCATGGTCCCAGGGTCCTAGGATCGAGCCCCACATCGGGCTCCCTCTCAGCAGGAAGCCTGCTTCTCCCTCTGCCTGCCACTCCCCCCGCTTATGCTCTCTCTCTCTTTCTTTCTCTGACAAATAAATAAATAAAATCTTTAAAAAAAAATAAGGGGGCGCCTGGGTGGCTCAGTCGTTAAGCGTCTGCCTTTGGCTCAGGCATGATCCCAGGGTCCTCAGTCCCACATTAGGCACCCCTCTCAGCAGGAAGCCTGCTTCTCCCTCTCCCACTCCCCCTGCTTGTGTTCCCTCTCTCGCTGTCTCTCTCTGTTAAATAAATAAATAAAATCTTTAAAAAAAAATAAGGGGGCGCCTGGGTGGCTCAGTCGTTAAGCGCCTGCCTTTGGCTCAGGTCATGATCCCAGGGTCCTGGGATCGAGCCCCACATCGGGCTCCCTGCTCGGCGGGAAGCCTGCTTCTCCCTCTCCCACTCCCCCTGCTTGTGTTCCCTCTCTCACTGTGTCTCTCTCTGTCAAATAAATAAATAAAATCTTTAAAAAATAATAAAAATAAAAAAATAAAGAAGACTTGTGTCTTGTTATAAAACCATGTTAAGTGATAGAAAAATTAAACATATGCAGAACAGGAAATAAAAGCACTTATATGACCAACACCCACAAAATACAATCAAAATCTTAAATGTATATCCTTCTAGTCATTTTAAAATACATATATATATACTTTTACAAAACAGAATATTGTTTTTTAACCTATTCTCATGTAATATATTTTCATGTCATTAAATCTACATTATTTAAAGCCCTGCAACCCAGTCCAGTTTACTGATGTACTGCAATGCATTTAGTAAATCTCTATTGCTTAAACATACAGAATGCTTTCAATTTTGTGTGTTGCACTGATGAATTCCTTTGAGTTACTTTTATACATATCCCTAATTATTTCCTTGGATTAAATTCTGGATAAAAGTTATGAACATTTCTTATAGACTTTATATTCATTCCTTCATTTGAAAATATTTATTAGGTATAACCTATTTGCTTTGTTGGGCACGAGTACCAGGGCTACAGCAATGAAAAGAAAAACAAGATTAAGATATGTGACCACCTGAAATTTATAGTCACATATTCCAAGTCCAAAGTACTCTGTAGAAACTGTTTTTTTACTATTCTTATTAACACTGTTAGATAAAATTTCAAAAATAAAATGGCTCACTCGGTTAGTTTACTTTAACAATGCTAGGTTAAGATACTTCTGAAGCTAGCTTATTTTGTCTTCCCTTCACTGACCTTGTAAGCTCTTTTAAATGCGACTCTGTCTTATAGAACTCAATATTGTACTTTTTTTTTTTTTTTAAGAGATGGGGAGAGAGAGAAAGAGAGGGAGGGAAGGGGAGAAGCAGAGGGAAAAGGAGAGAGAGAGAGAATCCCAAGCAGGCTCCACACTCAGCACAGAGCCCGATTCAGGGCTCGATCTCACAACCCTGAAATCATGACCAGAGTCGAAATCAAGAGTTGGACACTTAACCAACTGAGCCACTCAGGCGCCCCCCCTCAATATTGTACTTTTAATTATTAGTTTGCTTATAAGGTTTTTTTTCAAATAGCATACATATCTTATTTGTCCGATTTCATCTCCTATGTCTCTAACTTCCTATTTAGAACTTTAGCAATCTGAAATGGATTCTATTTTCTTATAAAGTGCATGATGTTTTAAGTCTCCATGCTTTTTCACATTATTCTCTCAGATATACCTTGCGCCATCTTATCCTTTTGACTAACTCAAAATTTTAAATTTATCCATCAAAACCTAACTTAGATATCACCTGCTTTGCTCTTTTTGAACAGCCCCCTATCAGAGCCCCTTCTAAGATATTGCTTCCTTCTCTGCTACTATAGTGGTTTAAAAGCATGGACTTCAGGGCTAGTCTCCCAGAGTTCAAATTCTAGTTCTTCCACTCATTAGTTGTGTGGACCTGGGGTAATTAATTAACCTCTCTGAATCTCAGGTACCTCAATCTACAAAATGGCGGTAACAATAGTACCAAAGCATGGGGTTGCTATGAAAATTTTGTATCAAAATAGATATACAGCTTATGACAGTACCTATGGCATAGTGTTACAATAATAATAGTGAACATTTATAGGTGTCTGTCTTTTCCACTAAAGTACCTAATACTATATAATTCTTTGAACACAAAGGTGAAATTTCAATTAAATTTTTTCTATAAAACAAGTAAGCAAAATTCCCCCCTTTCTATTTCATAGAAAGGTCTAATGATTCTCTTTTCAATAATTTTTTTTTAAGATTTTATTTATTGGGGCGCCTGGGTGGCTCAGTCGTTAAGTGTCTGCCTTCGGCTCAGGTCATGGTCCCAGGGTCCTGGGATTGAGCCTGACATCGGGCTCCCTGCTGAGGAGCTGCTGCTTCTCCCTCTGCCATCCCCCCTGCTTGTGTTCCCTCTCTCGCTGTGTCTCTCTCTGTCAAATAAATAAAATCTTTAAAAAAATAAAGTAAAATAAAATAAAGTGAAATGCAATGCAAATATAATATGGCATTATTGTTAAAGTACTCATCATTAGTACTTTCAAAGAAATAAACTTAATGTGTTATTCAGACTCATCTATGGAATTATATAGTCCTGACATTCTATTTCTTTATTATTAATTTCTGTACATTGATGTTCAAGTCATTTCAAGAAAGAAATAGGATATGCATAAAGTCTTAAGATATAAAAAACCAAAGTTAGCAGAAATCTCTAAAGAATAATTTACATATAAAAAAATACTAGAAACATTCCCATATCAGACCACACACATGAAACACTCTTACCTCATCATCCGAGTAGCTGTAGGCAGACGCTACGGCTACCCACATCTTACTGGCTACTGTTGCCGCTTGTTTCATACCAGATTTCAGAACCTCCATCTTGGGCCCTGAGAGTATATGATCTAGCTTTAGCCCTGACAAAGAATTTACCACAGAACCCAGTGAGCCATGTGGTGAAGAGCGCACCAGTGCCGATAAAGTCGAGCGTTCTTTCGGACCACGAGAGGGAGTCTGCTGCTTGAAACGCCCGGCTAAAGTTTTAGAGCTGGCTTCTGCAGGGGAGCTCTTTTCACGTTCGGGATCTTCCTGTGCTGCTGGACCATGCTCTAAAGGTAGGCTTGAGCTCCTCTCCAAAGGGTGAGTAAAGGCACTGGTCGGGCCAGACTCTCTGCCTCCCTCTCCGTGTAATTCCATACTGGAAGACTTGCTACCCAGGGGGCTCTTTAGGTTCATATAGCTTTCGATTTCATCAGCCAGATTACGGGCAATAACTGGAGAAGACATCTTATCTTCAGGATCTGCAGTTTTTTCTCCTGTACATTCAGTGGCTAAAAGAGACAAAGGATCTAGTCCAGTTTCAACATCCTCCCTCTCAACAGCTTTAACGACACCATATAAACTACTTCTCTTATTTATTAGATCTCTGGATCCTACTTTCAGGTCTCTGTTACCATCACTTTGTAGACTGTCACACGCATCCTTTTCCATAGGAGTTTGAGCTACACTGTCATCAACCACAGGTTCCAGGAGCTCTTGGCTCTCCTCAAGCATCTCTAACACCGGAGAAGATCTGTGCTCTGAATCCCAAGTGCTCTCAGACACACGAGTCCTAGCATCAACTAGATGACAACTAACACTCTCAAAGCTCTGGGTGCTTGCAGCTCGGAGTTGAGAGGTCTTAGGACAGGTCAGTGCTGCTGTGAGAATCTTGGCATCCGCTCCCATCATAATAGCCACTTCACTCGAATTCAGATCCAAGCTGCTCTTCTTGAGCAACATTCCTGCTCGACTTTCAGAACTGAAACTACAACTCCTCTCTGGAAAATGCTTTTGTCTTTTATCTCCTCTATCACCATTCTTCTTGAGATTAGTAACTTCACCAAAGATTGCATCTTCAACTGGATCTTGAGTAGCAAATGGCACATTTGCTGTACTACCTGAAGGAAAAGTACCATATTAGAAATGAAACTGTTTTCTGATATAACTTCTAGAAAAATGTCTCTTTTCTGATTTTTGAAAAGGAACACATACTCAGAGTAAAAGATTCAGAGTTTATTTTTTAAAAAGATTTTATTTATTTGAGAGAGAGAATGAGAGAGAGAGCGAGCATGAGGTGGGGAGGATCAGAGGGAGAAGCAGACTGCCTGCTGAGCAGGGAGCCCGACGTGGGACTCGATCCTGGGACTGCAGGATTATGACCTGAGCCGAAGGCAGTCACTTAAACAACTGAGCCACCCAGGTGCCCCAAGATTCAGAGTTTAGAAGGTACAAAGAAAGTATACAGGAAAAAGAACCACCAAAAAACCTCCATTCAATCCTGCCTCCCAGAGATAACATTGTAATGTATAACCTGCCTTTCACCCTCTACACATACACAATTACAAATCATGCAATATATGCTGCAGATACCTGTACTATTCACTAAAATTTATCACATTTATCAAATATAGATCTATAAATACATCTTACAGTTGAAAAGTTCTACATTCAATTTAAGAAATATATTTTGTGTTAAATAACTGACCTAAAAAGTTTACAAAATCACTTCCCTTCTGGCTTTCATATATCTAACTCAACAAATATTTGCCAGGAATCTACTCCGCACAAAGTAAATTCATAATCATGGAGGAATTATATATTTGCTAAAACCGAACCTTACTGCTCCGAAGTAAAATAATTCCCCAAAGTAAAAGAATCTAGAATGGAGTCCTTAGACTTGGCAAATTCCAAGAAGGCTGATAAAATCTGAATAGCTCCAAATTTCTGAGATATATTCATTCCTTCAACAAATACTCGAATGTCTACTAGCAGTCACCATATAAGGTGCTAGGAATATAACAGACATGATCCCAGATCTCTCACCGAGTTCAGTCTTGTTTGATCAAGTGGAACAAAATTATGCCAGTAGTTGTAGGGGGAAGTAGTCTTTTTTTTTTTTTTTAGGGTTTTTGTTTGTTTGTTTAGTTTTTATTTAAATTCCAGTTAGTTGGGCGCCTGGGTGGCTCAGTTGGTTAAGCGACTGCCTTCGGCTCAGGTCATGATCCCAGGGTCCTGGGATCGAGTCCCACATCGGGCTCCCTGCTCTGCGGGAAGCCTGCTTCTCCCTCTCCCACTCCCTCTGCTTGTGTTCCCTCTCTCGCTGTGTCTCTCTCTGTCAAATAAATAAATAAAATCTTTAAAAAAAAAAAAAATTCCAGTTAGTTAACATACAGTGTAATATTAGTTTCAGGAATAGAATTTAGTGATTCATCACTTACAGACAACACCCAGTGCTCATCACAAGTAGTCTTTTATTCCTTGCTACTATGCAATTTTTTCCCATTCCAAGACCAAAAGCTATCTCCTATTTGAATCATTATCAGAACTGAAGTCTACCCATTCCTATTTAGGATTCTCATTTGTTTTTTAAAAGGCATAATGACCTAGGAGATTTGAGGGAAAAGCTGTCTTTAATAAAGTCTTCTTTTTATCTTCCAAATTAATTTCAAGGTTCTTTTTAAGCTTCCAAATTGGTACCAAATAATAATCATAATCACACCAATTAAACAGAATAAGCACTTAGAGTTATTTCACAGCTTTTAGGAGAATTAAATTAGCCTATTTTACAACTGCAGAATTTGTGCCTGCTTTTGCAAACTTTTACCAGTATTTGAGAAACAGATCTTAGCAAATTTACTGGTTCTCAGAGTATTTCCAGGAATTTAGTGGCACATTTTTTTCAATTTTAAAACAAATTTGACCCTTTGATATATTGGCAAAAGCCCCATTACTACCTCTTCCTTTCTTATTAGAATAAATCTTCCCACATCAAGACATAACATGGACACAGAATGAGTAAAGAGGGAAGGAAACACACCAGACCCCAGATCTTGTCCATGTCAATATTCTGAGAAGATTATAAACCTTTGATGAAGAAAACTCTGCCCTCCTCCTTTTTCTTTTTTAAATGGGCTAGCAACAGGTTGGGAAAATAGGATACAGAACATATATATCAATTATTTTTCCAAAAACCTTTTCATCCACCTCTTGAATACTACCTGCTCCCCAAAACAAACAAATTGAATTTGGTATCAGTAAATTTTAAAAGAAGGAGAGAATTTTGGAATAAGGAGTATTCCTACATGGATTTAAGAAGCTGAGCAAATTAATTTCTATAGTCATACCACAGATACACTTAAGACAGTTGACTTTAGAGAAGTGAATTATAGCAACTACTAAAAAAGGGCAAAAGACACAGGCCAATCTCTATCCTTTGAAATCACAAACTTAGATGCATGTCTGAAGGGTACTTGGGAGGCCTAAAACACAACTGAAAGGAGTAAACTCAAATTCAAGGGAGTGACACACAAAAGAGTTATTCATTACAAATATTTAATCACAAATAAGTGGCTCAGGGTGCCTATAAAAACTGGCCAAATTAAAGACGCACTGGTATTTTTCTGCAGTACAGCATAGTGGTATGAATCTTTTCCTTCCACTGCCTTTCCATTGCCACACAAAAGCCCCCCTGGAATTCAGTAACATCAGTGCCTCTCTGTCCTTTATGAGTATGGGAGGCCCTCTCTCATTATCTACCCTGAGAAAGATGGACCAAACTGAGAAGAGGCACTACAACAAGCAAAGGTATTCCCAGGAACAATCAAGCACAATAAATACCCCTCCTTTGAAACACTAAATATGTTAAATAACAACTTCTTTTTTTTTTTAAGATTTTATTTGTTTATTTCAGAGAGAGAGAGAGTGAGAAAGAGCACACACGAGAGGGGGGAGGGTCAGAGGGAGAAGTAGGCTCCCTGCGGAGCAGGGAGACTGATGTGGGGCTCCATCCCAGGACCCTGAGATCATGACCTGAGCCAAAGGCAGACACTTAACCCACTGAGCCACCTAGGCGCCCTTAAATAACTTCTTAACCCACGTATAGGATTCAAACTTCTGGCTCTTTAGCCTGTTCATCACAGTTAAGTCATCAATTTAATGTCATTAAAAACTATTTTAACTTGGGGGTGCCTGGGTGGCTCGTTAAGCGTCTGCCTTTGGCTCAGGTCATGATCCCAGGGTCCTGGGATCGAGTCCCACATGGGGCTCCCTGCTCGGCGGGAAGCCTGCTTTTCCCTCTCCCGCTCCCCCTGCTTGTGTTCCCTCTCTCGCTGTCTCTCTCTCTGTCAAATAAATAAATAAACTCTTTAAAAAAAACCCAAAAAACTATTTTAACTTGGGCGCCTGGGTGGCTCAGTCATCAAGTGGGAGCCTGCTTCTCCCTCTCCCACGCCCCCTGCTTGTGTTCCCTCTCTCTGCCGAAAAATAAATAAAATCTTTAAATAAATAAATACAAACAAACAATTTTAACCATTTAGCCATCAGTATGTGAAGACTCACCTGTGCTGCTCCTCCTGCCACCAAGGTCAAACACGCCAGATGGAACTTTCACAATACTGCTGCCCCATGCGGGGGGCTCAGTAGGACTCTGGGGCTCGGCACTAGGCTGTGGTTTTGCCACAACAGCAGAGACATCACACACCTCTGAGGAAAAAATATTTGGATGTTATTCCTACTTTTACTAAAATTGAACAGAAACCATATATTGATTTTTGTACTTTTTAAAATATTTTTTCCCCAAGTGGGAGTGAACACATCACTATTTTATTACTAATTTATTGTGTCTCATTTACTTTATGCCATAAATGTTGCCAGTATTGACGGAAATAAATGCTTTATTTTAGCATCAATAATCCTGACTTGAGCATTCCTGAGAATAAATTAAAGATTTTGGCCTCCAGTTATACTCCCATCACTTATAAAGTAGGAGAGAGGCTTGCTTCTGCTAACTCTGGAGCATAAATTAAGTGACATCATTAAAGAAAAGTGTACTTTTGTGTAAAAGGATAGGAAGAACATCTTATTACCATAAAGCCAGAATATTCCTCCACATTTCCATAAAATGATTACTATAAATCATATCTACCTCAATGAGTCCCATTAAAAAAAAAACAAACCCACAGGAAAACCAGAGACACTATATCTAATCTACCAATGAAAAATACCTACTTAGATATATGAAGGACTTCTAGTGAAAGAGCATTTTAAAATAAAACAAGCACTGGAACACAAGTTTGATGACTCAAAGTTTAGTCCTGGTTCCATCACAAAATGGCTCTTTGCTTTTAGCAAATGAATACCTCAGTGGATTGCAGTGTCCTACAAAATTGAGGGCTGACCTCTTGTCTCTAAAGATCTCTTACCTTCTAAAATTCAGAAACTACTCATTCTCTCTATATACCACACTACATAGTATCTTATAAGCCCAGACCTTACATTTCTTTCTAGAAATTATCATCAGAATTACCAAATCAGACTTAATCAGTACAGGGGCGCCTGGCTCATCCGGAAGAGCATTCAACTCTTGATCTTGGGGCCGTGAGTTCGAGCCCCATGTTTGGCGTAGAGATTATTTAAAAATTATAAACTTAAAAAGAATTAATACAGTATTTTTCTAAGTAAAGCAAGTAAATACCAGTACTTAACCTTCTGTTTGCACTTTAGTTATCACTTCTCTTGCTGCTTGTTCTTCAGGCACATGAATGTCTGCATCATCCTTTATAAGTTCATCCTTAGATCCATAGCCTTGGTCAGACTGACCACCTGTTGAAAAAGAACGCAGGCTTACAGGTGAATGTTTTCATATATTCATAGTCTAGCTATAAATGTCAGAAGAAAATTCCATTGATTTATACAATTAAGCTTACAGAAAAGGAAGACAAGAAAGCTCACAAAGCACACGGAACATGGTAAACAAATGACAAGAAGCGAAGAACAGTAACAACGGGAACATCAAAGACTAAAAACTTTGGAGTACTGAACCTTAGTTTCCGCATCCGCAAATTAATAGATTTGGACAAGATGTTCTGAAAAGTTTCCTTTGGAGTATATCTATAGAATGCTACCTTTTGTGAAAGAAAGAGGAGGAAATAAAACAAGCATATATCTGTTTACTTTTGCAAAAAGAAATGAAAAAATAAAACAATAAAACTGGTTAACTACAAGGGGTGGGGGGAAATAGGATGGAAGGGATAAAGAGAGAGGAAATTTTTCTAAATATGGCTTATTGTATTGCTTTTATTTTTGGAAATACATCAATTTCTACACATTCAAAAAAATTAAATCAACAAAACTGGGAGGAGGGTCGTGACTAAAACTGAATGCAAAAAGAAACAAATGGGACCAACTGCATTTCACATGAATAACCATATTGAAAGGATGGGGGAACAGGGAGAGGGGGAGAGGTCTAATCCAAGAAACTTTTCAACACATTATAAGCCTGGGCGGGGGGTGGGGGGGTCGTAATAGACAAATCCTGAACTCCTTAAAAAGCTTGTTTCTCCCAGAGTAACAGATGTAGCAATTCTGAAATTATTTTATATATACTGCAGGACTGAGCAAATGAGTAAACATAATGATGGATATTGGGAGCCAAGATACTTACTGTGGAAGAAGAGAGATTTTTAAAAAATAAAATGAAGGAAGACAAAGAAAAACCTGTAGGGTTGATTTGAAAATGGAAATATTTCTAGGGCACCTGGGTGGGGCACCTGGGTGGCTCAGTTGGTTAAGCGTCTGACTCTTGGTTTTGGCTCAGGTCATGATCTCAGGTCATGAGATCAAGCCCTGTGTTGAGCTCCACACTCATCAGGGAGTCTGCTTGAGATTCTCTCTCCCTCTCCCTCTGCCCCTCCCCACCCTCAAATAAATAAATAAAGCTTAAAAAAAATGGAGGTATTTCTAAAACATACATATTTCTTTTTTTTCCCCCTCATATATACATATTTTCCAGCTCTGCTGAAAAATTCTAGAAGCAGTAATACCCTGTAGCATAAGCATACCGAGAGCCCAGATCTTGGCTTCTAGAATCTACTGTCCATTGAAAGGAACCTGGGATCCTTGAAGAAATGGCTGATTTCAGATCTCAGGGAGGAAAGCTACAAGAATGAGCCAGGAACATTTGTTGTACTAAAAGGAAGTGTTGAAAAACAATAATCAGGGTATGTCTTAGTAAAATGATTAAACCAAAAAACATAGAATACCATCCTATAAATGTGGATGGAGGATAGAGTTGGCAAAATCACTTTTTTTTTTTTTTAAGATTTATTTATTTGAGAGATAGAGAGTGCGAGTACAGGGGGAGGGGCAGAAGGAGAGGGAGAATCTCAAGCAGACTCCATGCTGAGCACAGAGCCCAACACAGGACTTAATCTCACAACCCTGAGATCAGGACATGAGCAGAAATCAGAGTCAGACGCTTAACCAACTGAGCCACCCAGGCGCCCCAATATCACTACTTTATCGTAAAGACTGGTTAAGGCAAGAATCATCAATGGATGCTAAATTTAAAAGAGAAAGTGGGATGAGAAAGAGGGTATTACTGCATAGTCTCAGAGTCTCCTCACAGTAGGGGCGGTAATGATAATGAGGAGAAGCCAAATACTAAGACCAGGTGATCAAAATTAGTACCAGCAATGAGAGGCAGACAGACACTGTTGTGGGGGTGTGACAGTCACTTTTGTAGTAGAGCCATCGATGTACACTCAATCTAATCACAAGAAAACAAGCAAACATCAGACAAACTCAAACTAAGGAACATTCCACAAAATAACTGGAATGAATCTTCAAAAAGGCTGTGGTCATGAAAGACAAAGAAAGGGTAAGGAACTGTGCCAGGTTAAAGGAGACCAAAGGAGAGGGAGCTGGAGTCCCACAAAGGACATTATAGCAACTGACAAAACTGGAGTGTAGACTACAGATTAAAGTAGTATATCCATATTTTCCTGAATTTGGTTAACTATGGTTTTATCAGAGAAAAATACCACTGAAGTATTAAAAGGTAAAAGGGCAAGATGTATGCAACCTGCTGTCACACGATTCAGAAAAATGTGTATATGTGTGTACAGAAACAAAACGATAAAGCAAATGTGGCAAACTAAAAGAGTGAATCTAGATAGACATTATTCAAGTGTTCTCTGTACTATACTTGCACCATTTTCATAAGTTTGAAATAATTTCAAAATAAAGTTTTAAACAAGTCTATTTGACTTTCGAGTTCTATCATTTAAAACAGAAACAAGACTGAGGACTAAACGAGGCCTACCTGAAACTAAGTTCCTAGAGAATCCTTACAGAGGATGTCTATGAAAAATGAAACAGGAACACACGGTTGACCCTCGAACACTGGTCCTCCCACCCCGCACAATCGAAAATCCAGGCATAACTCTTCACTCCCCAAAACTGAACTAATAGTCTACTGTTGACTGGCAGCCTTACCGATAACAAACAGTCGATTAACACATACCTTGTATTCTATATATTATAGACTGTATTCTTACAGTAAAGGAAGCTAGAGAAAAGAAAATGTTATTAAAAAATCATCAAGTGGGGTGCCTGGGTGGCTCAGTCGTTAAGCGTCTGCCTTCGGCTCAGGTCATGATCCCAGGGTCCTGGGATCGAGCCCCGCGTCGGGCTCCCTGCTCGGCGGGAAGCCTGCTTCTCCCTCTCCCGCTCCCCCTGCTTGTGTTCCCTCTCTCGCTGTGTCTCTCTCTGTCAAATAAATAAAATCTTAAAAAAAAAAAAATCATCAAGTATTGTAGTAGTGTTGTATGGTGACAGATGGTCGCTACACTGTGGTGAGCACAGCATAAGGCATAGAGAAGTTGAATCACTATGCTATAGACCTGACACCAATGTAACATCACGTATAGACCATACTCAAATTTAAATTTTTTTTTAAAACGGGGGAAAACGAAAATCATAAGGAAGAGGAAATACATTTACAGTACTGTATTTATTGAAAAAACATGGCGTGGAAGTGGACCTGGGCCATTCAAACCCATGTTGTTCAAGAATTAACTGTAGTGCCTTCTCCCTTCTGCTGCGTGTTATACTGCCACTCAAACTTTGGGTTTGCAATATAAGAAAAAAACTAAACTTCTTTACATACCCCTCTTTAGAATGATTAATTTGCCAGTTTTTAATTGCCCCCTCAGAAAGTCTGGTAAGGCATGATGCTGCCATGAAATGGACACAAAGTCTGGGGACTAAGCTGACTGATTAAACCAAGGCATGCCCCCCAACAAGCTAAGTGACCCCGTATCAGGTACCAACCAAGTGGAAAGATTCTACAAGAGAATCCTTAAAGAAACAGCAACCTAGGGGCGCCTGGGTGGCTCAGTCGTTAAGCGTCTGCCTTCGGCTCAGGTCATGGTTCCAGGGTCCTGGGATCGAGTCCCGCATCGGGCTCCCTGCTCAGCGGGAAGCCTGCTTCCCCTCTCCCACTCCCCCTGCTTGTGTTCCCTCTCTCGCTGTCTCTCTCTATCAAATAAATAAAATCTTAAAAAAAAAAAAAAACGAAACAGCAACCTAAGCACCTGGGTTGGAAGTCTCCAAAAGTATCAAATGACGTCACCAGAAACTCTACAAGACCCATAATCACTGTAAATTCAGCACTGGGGCTTCAGCCATTTGAAATGTAACTTTAAAGATATGTATGGAAAAGGGATCTGAAGTTCCTTCCCCAACTACTGGAATCTTTATGCCAATTACCCAGAATTACTAGGAGACTGTTTTTTTCATTAAAGGAGATAAGCTTAGAAGAGTAAGGACAGGATTTATCTATTACTATTTTAAAAATTATAATTATTCTGGTGAAATGGTTTCATATCACAAAATTATTCTCTTTTTTTCATAAATGAAATCCATTTCTTCTTACAAGTTTTAGGAACAAATACAGGAAGAAATAAAATAAGGCAACTTTACAATCAAAGTCATATAAAAATTCCTACTGCTGAAAGAAAGTTAATTTACAAACAGGATTGTAACTTATAGCTCTATGTTGACTTTCAATGATTTATACATGGTTCTGTAATTATGGGGTAATTTTTAAACTTAGCAGATCAGTTTTAGCAAGCAAAACCATCTCAACAGCTGGAACACTGAAATCTTTAATCCCCATAAAACTATTGGATACAATGATGCTACAAACAAACCCCAAAGGAAGAATTATAGCAACGCACAGTGTATTTTCAAATAAGATAACAAATATGCTTTGCAAAATGATAGTGAAATGTTAGCTGGATATTTTCAGTGGTACATATATGATTACACTTATCTGAAGAAGAAAAAGTCAAGAAAACTGAAACTGTTTTCCACCTGCAACAATACTTTAAACACAACAAAAGGTCTCTCCCCCACCCTTGCATGTCAGCAAAATTTAACCTAATAAATGGGAAATTACCTGAAGTGGTTAACATTCAAGGGTAGAATTAATGCACACGTGTATCCATAGCTTCACGTCATACAAGTCTGTCTGCACCCCACACCATGACAGCCAAGGACAAATGCAGCACCAAGAAACAGCACAGAGCAAAAAGCAGAGCAACAAAGAGCAGAAAAAAGGAAACTTCAGTCATTGAGACAAGTTCATCAGATGAAACACAGGAATTAGACTTAGGATTCTTTTTAAAGAAAAGCTTGAGATATTAACAATAACAACAACAACAAAAAAAGAAAAACAACACAAAAAGAAGGATGTGCAACACACATATATTTGCTCAATGTGCTACTCGAATTATGCGTATTTCTAACTTCAGAGGACAGAGGGTAAGCCCGTAGCTTTGTATGTAAAAGTCGCTTCCGAAGTTCCTCAGATTTTAAAAAAGTGTCACTTAAAATAATGACTATGCAAAGAGAATACTCTTTGTCATGGTATGTGACTTATTTTCTTCCCGCTTTAATATTCATAATCTCAATTTTTTTTACTATTTTCCACTTAATGAAAAAAAGATCTGCAAGTTGTATCACTACATTCAAGTTCCTCAGTTTATCATTCCTACAGTTATTTCATATACTTTCACAAATTAATGATGAACCAAATACAAAGGAGCACCACGCTAGAGCCTTTTGCACAGCACTCTAGAGTTAATTTTATATATTTTAGGAAATAAAAAGAAGGGATCTGCAACCGGAGGTGTAATTTCTTCTGTAATTTCTTATTTATATAAAGTACTCATTGCACAAACTCTTAAGAAAAAGGAAGGTAAAAGCTTTTTAAAAAGGGAAAGACTTAACAAGAGAGTAAGTGAAGGGTTAGTAAAATCCAGATTTTAGTACCTGTGCTAAAGTGATTATCAGTGGAATCAAGCCTGACTGAATCTCTGACGAAGACTGTGTGCTCCCCATTGTTAGCATCATTAGAACTACCCATGCTACCGTGGCTCAGCACATCCCCATCACTGCCACCTGTGGCATTCTGAGGAGCTAAAGGTAAGGACAACAGCAGGTCAGTAACTCATGCACTGATCATCTCTGAAACTAAACACGAATGCCTCACAATTCATTTATAGTTGCAGAACATTTCTAAATCTGTGGGGGGAAAATAATCTGGGACTAATGTAATCTCTATCTTTAGTTGTATATGAAAATATCAACCAGAATTTCATTTATGTTTTCTACTTCATACAATTAAACACTCGCATGCCTATATAAAGCTTATGGTTCAGCAAGAGGGTATCTTTCCAACCACATGTATTACCTGATATTGAGGAGACCTGTGACTTTTGCACGGTCTTTTTAAGCGGCTGCCTAAACTGTGCCAAGCCACGTACCACATTCCGTACCTTCGTCCATAAGAAGATACCACTGCGGGTACTGCTAGGCCACGGGCTCTCCAAAACTACCTACCGGTAAAATAATGGTTAAAAATAATGATTACAAGCAATACTTGATTTTTTAAAGAAATACATATATACACAATACATACATAACTACAGCTCAAAACTCTAAAAGAAGTTTCATGAATAATAAAAGGTACAAAAATATGTCAATCTTAATAAGCAACATAGGTTGTCCAATGTCAATCCCACTTACCTTATTATAATAACCATAAGTAATAGCATTTGGCTTTATCTTAGCAGTTTTCATTTCAAATAAGACTCTCACTGCCAAAACAGGATGACCCCAAAGTCCACAGAGCTGCATGACTACTCGATAGCACACCTAACAAAAAATAACATCAAAGCAGGAGTAGTTAATTAGTCTATGACCTGTAGAAATTTTTTAATTATTCAGTTCTTCTACTCAAAGTCATTAAGCACTATTTTATCCTTTGTTCTGAGTCTTGGTACATTATTTTAAAAACCTCTTCATTAATGAAAATACCATCCTTAACTATATCACGTAAGACCTATGTGCATGTGTGCCATTTGTTTCAGCAACTAAGTTTACACAAAGAGAATGACTATTATTCCCCATAATTTGAGAAGGAATTCATTTTTTAAATCTAATATGATTAAAATAACTCTCTCCCAAATCATGTTCTATATTCTGTGCCAAAGGAATTAAAGACAACATCTCCAGGATGCCTATGTAACAAAGATTTTGTAAACCCATGTCTTAGAAAAGTATGAGAAGAAACTTTAGGGGCGCCTGAGTGGCTCATTCGGCTAAGCGTCTTCTTCGGCTTACGGAGTCCTGGGATCAAGCCCCAAGTCAGGCTCCCTGCTCAGCAGGGAGCCTGCTTCTCTCTCTCCCTCTGCCCCTCCCCCTGCTTGTGCTCGCTCTCTGTCTCAAATAAATAAAAAATCTTAAAAAAAAAAAAAAAAAGGGGAGAAAAGATGGCAGAGGAGTAGGGGACCCTATTCCAACTGGTCCCCGGAATTGAGCTGGCTATCTACCAGACCACTCTGAACATCCACAAAATCAGCCTGAGATGTAAGAAGATAGATCTGGATCTCTACAAACAGAGTATCGCGGGCGGTTGGTTTCGAGGTATGAAGCAGGGAGCCGTGATTCCACAGGCAGATATCAGAGGATAAACCACATTGAGATACCACCTTACACCCAGTTAGAATGGCAAAAATGGACAGGGCAAGAAACAACAAATGTTGGAGAGGTTATGGGGAAAGGGGTTCCTCTTACACTGTTGGTGGGAATGCAAGTTGGTACAGCCACTTTGGAAAACAGAGTGGAGGTGCCTCAAAAAATTAAATACAGAGCTATCCTATGACCCAGCAATTGCACTCCTGGGTATTTACCCCAAAGACACAGATGTAGTGAAAAGAAAGGCCATATGTACCCCAATGTTCATAGCAGCAATGTCCACAATAGCCAAACTGTGGAAAGAGCCGAGATGCCCTTCAACAGATGAATGGATAAAGAAGTTGTGGTCTATATATACAATGGAATATTACTTGGCCATCAGAAAGGATGAATACCCAACTTTTACATCAACATGGATGGGACTGGAGGAGACTATGCTAACTGAAATAAGTCAAGCAGAGAAAGTCAATTATCATATGGTTTCACTTATTTGTGGAACGTAAGGAATAGCATGGAGGACATCAGGAAAAGGGAGGGAAAAAATGAAAGGGATATCAGAGGAAGAGACAAACCATGAGAGACTATGGATTCTGAGAAACAAACTGAGGGTTTTAGAGGGAAGGGTGTGGGGGGATGGGTTAGCCCGGTGATGGGTATTAAGGAGGGCATGTACTGCATGGAGCACTGTGTGTTATAAGAAAGCAATGAATCGTGGATCACCACATCAAAAACTAATGATGTATTGTATGGTGATTAACATAAGATAGTAAAATAAAATTTAAAAAAATAAATAAAAATTTAAAAAATAGTTATGGGAAAAAAAAGAAACTTTAAAATATTATTATTAGCAAAGGCTTTTCTGAGAATATGTGTTTACTGAGGAGGGCTAGATTTGATCACAAGAGGACAAGTGAAGTTAGAAGATGGAGTTAGAATCTCACACATTAGAAGACTATAGTAGAAATCATGGAGAATAAATGGGTATCTCACGGGCTCCCAGCAAAGAGGTGAGCCAGCTAGCAGGAGCAGTGACGGTACGGCCACAGACTTGCTTACAGCTTAGTCTGAGAATAAGGAAATACACAGACAGAAGATACTCTTCTTGGGTCTTGTAAAATGTGCTCTGTTTATAACAGAGTTGGTTAACAAAAAGGTATTTTTTTTTTTAAGATTTTATTTATTTATCTGAGAGAGAGAATGAGATAGAGAGAGAGAGCATGAGAAGGGGGAGGGTCAGAGGGAGAAGCAGACTCCCCCCTGAGCAGGGAGTCCGATGTGGGACTTGATCCTGGGACTCCAGGATCATGACCTGAGCCGAAGGCAGTGGCTTAACCAACTGAGCCACCCAGGCACCCAACAAAAAGGTATTGTAAAGCCAAGTTGCTCTCAACTAAAGGGGAAAGTAAAAAGATTTCAGAAAGGATATTTTAGTCAAGAGAACAGAAGAAATGAAATAGAAAAAGAGACATGAAAAGGCCGAGGATCATAAAGATGAATACTTGGAAGCCAGAAATGGAGAATGTAATTTAGAAACAGGAGGTCAGAAACTGAGAGCAACTCTGTAAGTGACTACATGAATCAGGGACAACTGAAGGAACCAGCTAAGATGTGTGAAGGGATGAAAGAGAATGTGGCACATGAGGGTTCTTCAAATATCTGAAGAGTTGTCACATCAAAGAGGGAGTAAACAGTCTGTACAATTCCAAAAAAGCTCTAGAGAGGTAGGAACTGAGCTCAGCCAGAAACACACTTCCTAGGAACATTAGACTCCATTCAAGCATAGGGAAGATCTCGTATGTTACAGACTTGCTACAGAGGATCTCAGCTTTAGGTTCAAGTTGTACTACAGTATCTTCAAATCCTATCACCCCTTAAGATTCTGTGGGCCATAAAGAAGTAACTCACTTTCTATGTCAAATTGAGATTAATCTGAATTTTCTAAAAGCATTCTAGGCAATGAATTTATTCTGAAGTCTGCAAAGTGCTCCCCAACCTCCCAGTTTTACCTGTATAAGGGCCAGTCGCCAAACTAAAGAAATAGTAATAATGCCAAAGATGTAATTTTTCAATTGCAGTATTTTGTTGCCTGCAACATATCTTTTGGATATCTGTGGTAGATAAAGGATGTCCACTCACGCTTTGCTACTCCTTCCACTGGGTCTATGTCCCTCCCCCTGAACTGAGAGAGAAGGGCGTCTGAGACTGCATTACCAATAGAATTTGACTAAAGAGACACTGTACTAGTTTCCTGGCTTAAGCCTTAAGAAACTGCCAGTTTCCACTTCCTCTCCCTTGAAACAAAGCCCTAAGCTATCATGGACAAAGCCCAAGTACCAGAGAGAGAGGTCCCGAGCCTACATGGAGGAAGAGGGGCCCACCTGAGCCCAGCATTACGCTCCCCCTTGCCAAGGTACCTGGTTGGCATTGGAGTTAAGCTATCTTGGGCCAACCAGACCAGATCAGCTAGCAACGATTATGACCAACTGATTCCAGTTAATGCAATGTGGAGCAGAAAAATCACCCAGAATCCTTCCTGGGTTCTCAGCAAATAAAGTCCAGATTTAATAAAATTGTTGTCGTAAGCCACTAAGTTCTGCGGTGGTTTGTTACTCAGCAATGTACAACAATATCATAAGAACAGACTGATAAAAAAATGTAGGAATAAGTTTGACACAAATATTTCATTTTTATTAAAAATTCAGTTAAGCAGTATTAAAAACAAAATGCATTATGCATTTTTAACTTCAGTCTATGTGGCATATGCTATTTCTGGGTCTTTGAAGAGTTTTATTTTAAAATCTAGGTTATTACACCTTTTACATAACATGCAGAACAAAGAGCTGTCAAATTAGAACATTAAGCATATGAATGAGACAGTAGGTTCTAATGAAACAGACCTAAAAATCAAGACCACTTACTTATTAGGCAGTCTTACGTGTGTGTCATTTCATCTAAGTTTCAAATTATTTTCTTTGTAAAATGTAGCTAATATATAAACTGCCTCACAGACTTGCTGGAAATACCAAAGGAAAGAATGTACATGAAAATACTGTGAAAACTTTAATATGCTACTCTCTATATAATCAATAAACAGATAAAATGCACAAAATACACTTAGAAAATAATGCATTCTTAAGTTTTAAAATAAACATTTCTATCTTCCAGTTGTGGAGATGTAATGACTTCAGGAGACTAAAAATCTGTCAAAATAACTTGTTAGAAGTAGGAATACAACAAATTAAGCTCCAAATTTAAGCTTCCTATCACAGTGTTTACTGGGGAAATAGTCTAAAAAAATTTTTTAGCTTACTAGTCATAACTGCTGTATGTTAGAAATGAGAGAATGTAATTCCTTGTACCAAAGACTACCCCTGAACTTTAATACCTAGAGAGGAAAATACTTCTCAGGATTTATGATATGTACTATGAACTTATAACTTATCAAACAAACTTAATCAAGTATTATGCTTTGAATTTAGAGTATGGTAACATAATTCATACAGCATACTTTCAAACACTTTAAAAATACCTTCACAGAGCATACTTTAAAGCACTTTAAAAATATTTTATGCCTTTCACAAGTTAAAACACATCTTAAAACACATCTCAGATAGAAAACTGTATTAGAACTAATTTTTTAAAACACTAAAATGCATAAGGTATGAAACACTGATTCTGATCAAGTATTTTTAATTTCCAAATAGTTTTATAAACACTGGATGAGAGAAAAAATGTAATCAAATATGAGAATGGATATTTTAGTACTTGTTTTATAATTTTATTTTTATTTTTAAAGCTTTTATAACATACAGTTAATACTTAGAGAAAATCAGTTTTAGTATACCCACAAGCATTATCAAATCTTCATATTATACATGCTATATTCATTTAAGATCTTTTGTAAGAAAAAAATATATAATTATTGCTGAAGCCTATAATGCACCCCTCTTCAAACCCATTTCTCTTCTATCCCTGTGTTCTTTCCCCTCAGATACCCATTACTCAGTTTTTATTTCAATTTCATTTTAAATTCTAATCTGATTCTAAAGATCATTTATAGTTATTTTAACACCAACAGTTATTTTTAAGAGGGAAAACTAGCCAAGAAAAAGGCTAAATAAGTGATTCAGTTTCCTCAACCATTAACTGGATAGTATCACTACAGATCTCTTAGGATGGCTCTCAAGCTTAAGGGAGAGTGACTGTAACATCTTTAGCATAGCCAGGTACTATTCTAGCACACTGTACATTAACTGATTTAATCCTCAAGTTAACCTTATAAAGATGGTACCAACTATAATTATCTACATCAGTGGGGCAATGTGTGTAGACATTTCTGAATGCCATGTAGAAGGGGGATTGCTACTGGCATCTAGTGTACAGAAGCCAGAGATGCTGCTAAACATACTACAATGTACAGGACAGGCCCACAATAAATAATTATGTGGGCCAAAATGCCAATAGTGCCAAGGTTGAGAAGTCTGGATCTACATTTTCAGATACATAATCTGAGACACAGGCAGGTTATATAACTCACCCTAGAACAAAGGGCCTAAGTGGAGAGCCACTTACTAATAGCCTATTCCCCATTTGCTTCATAATAAAGTTATACTAAGAATAAAATGAAGTAGGGGCACCGGCGTGGTTCAGTTGGTTAAGCATCCAACTCCTGATTTCAGCTCAGGTCACAATCTTACAGTTGTGAGATGGAGCTGGGTGTGGAGCCTGCTTAACATTCTCTCTCTCCCTCTCTGTCTGCCCCTCCCCACTCTCTCCCTCTCTTAAAAAATAAATAAAAAGAATAAAATGAACTCAATATTATTTTCTATTTATCAAGTGCAAACTATGTGACCTAAGGCAGTCTCTGCTTCATTCCAAAGCAGTAATTTTTAAATAAATATATTTAAAAACAAACCGTATTAGCTCCATGGAATAGAGTAATATTTAACCTTTCCTGCTTAATGAAAATACTTGAGAACACTTTAAAGCAACTGAGACCTAAATTCCCTTAAAAATACAAAAATAAAATTTATCCTAGTAATGGTAATTTGTTATACTTGCCTCATCTAGTGGATCCACATCTGTTTTCCTCATCTTAATGAGTACATCATATGCCTGCTGAAGTGCTCTGACCTTAGGGTGAGAAACTCTAACATAGGCTGGGAGACAAATAAACCATAAGCTGTAACAATGACTGAAGAGACACTTGGCCCATTGTGGTGGATTTGTGTAACATCTCTTCGCCAACTTATGAGCTGTTTTTATCTCCTAGAAAGAGAATAAATAAAACATTATGGTATTTGGGACACTTGGCTAGCTCAGTTGGTAGAGCATGCAACTCTTGATCTCTGGTTCGAGAGTTCAAGCCCCACACTGGGAGTAGAGATTACTTACAAAAAGAAAATTAAGGAAAAAAACAGTATGGTATTTATTAAAATCCATTAGGGTGGGGATAAAAGTGAGAAGGAAAAGAGAGGAATGTAATGTAAAATTTGACTCTAAATTAAGCATTTCACAGTTTTACTTTCATGACTGGCTTCCTACTTAGTGCCATGTGATGCCCTCAACATTCACCTACAGAAGCACTTTATCCTGCTCTGTAACTTTACTGGCAAGCACATGTTTCCTAATAGACTAGAAATCCCTTAGAAGTGGTGATCAGGGGCGCCTGGGTGGCTCAGTCATTAAGCGTCTGCCTTCGGCTCAGGTCATGATCCCGGGGTCCTGGGATCGAGCCCCACATCAGGCTCCCTGCTCGGCGGGAGGCCTGCTTCTCCCTCTCCCGCTCCCCCTGCTTGTGTTTCCTATCTCTCTGTCTCTCTGTCAAATAAATAAATAAAATCTTAAAAAAAAAAATAAAAAAACTAAAAAAAAAAAACTTCCTTAAAAAAAAAAGAAGTGGGGATCATTCGTATTTATATAATATGATGGCTAAATAGTTACCCTTCACATAGAAGGCACTCATATGCTTGATGAATAAAAGGGTTTCAACCATTTAGAGCTTGTCAGTCCTTTAACGGCATTCTTGAAAAGTGATCATCTTTCCACCTTTCTCCCTGCTGAAAATGTTTAAGATACCATAGGTATTTCCTGCCAAGATGTCCACTCTACCCTCCCTCACCACAGTCTTTAATTCTTTCACTGACTGACTCCTTAAAAAGACATATGCCACTGTAGGCAACATAGTCTGATAAAGATCACAGACTTTCTTACCCAACAGACCGACAGTCACGTTTTCTACTTCCGATTTTCATTCTCATTTAGGTGGAAAAGAGTACGTATCAAAACCACCTGCTGAGCTTTAATCAAACTATATATATACTCCCTTGGCGTACCTGGGTGGTTCAGGTGGTTGAGCACCCGGCTCAGGTCATGATGTCATCTGGGTTGTGAAATCAAGCCCCATGTCGGGCTCCGTGCTCAGCACAGGACCTGCTTGAGATTCTCCCTCTCCCTCTGCCCCTCCCGTGCGCACGTGCGTGCTCTCTCAGATAAATAACTCTTAAAAAAAAAAAACAAACTATATATACTCCCAGAAACCACAGAACCTTCCAGATATGTCAGACTACCATGGTGTACCTTGCACTAAAGATCCCTCTGCTGGGATGTGTTTTAAATAAAAATGTCCTGGCCCATTATGTTTTCTTATGAGCTCTATTTCCATTAGACTCAGAAGATATATTTGAAAATGCAGTCCCTTGTTTTTCTAAGCTAGCCCGGGGGACAAAAATTCTGGTGTATGTAAGATGTAAAGATTTAGTAACCAAATTCTCCCATTAGAAAAACTGGCTTTTATTAAGCTGGTAACAGCAAATAAATATATGCTAATTTCCCTTCAGACATTGAGAGAAACGTGTACTATACGAAATTAAGGAACACTTCAGGTTACCTCTAGGTTTTGGGGGACTGTACACGAACTGTTAACACCTGAACTAAAAACTTCATTCTGAAATTTTCCATGTTTTATAGACCACAAATACATCAACAATATATGTACAAAAGGATGTTTCATTTTAACACACACCTAACCACAGACCAACTCTTTATACCTAAATCAGACATAATATTAAAGCAAGATGTCTAACTTGTCCTAAATTAACTCCCTTTAAATGTAATATTTGGCATAAAGTATATTTACATTAACTGTGAGAGATATGAAAATCGAAATCACAAAGAGATACCACTTCACACACACAAGGATGACTATCATCAAAAAGACAGATAACAAAAATTGACAGGGACATGGTACAACTGGAACCTTCATCCACTGCTGGCAGGAATTTAAAATGGTATACCTATTTTGGAAAACAGTCTTGACAGTTCCTCCAAAGGTTAAACATAGAGATACCATATGACACAGCAGTTCTACTTCTAGGCATTTACCCAAGAGAAATGAAAACACACATCCACACAAACACTTGCACACAAATGTTCACAACAGCACTATGCATAATAGCCAAAAGGTAGGAACCACTCACATGTACATGAATGAATAAATAAAATGTGGTATATATCCATACAATGGAATATTATTCAGCAATAAAAATAAATGAAGTATTGGCACATGCTGCAACATGGATGAACTTAAAAACATTATGCTGTGTGAAAGGAGCCAGTCACAAAAGGCCATTTATTGTATAATTCCATTTATGGAGTATTTATTATGAAACTCCCAGAACAGGAGAAACCACAGAGACAGAAAAGAGATTAGTGGTTGCCTACGGCTGTGGGGGATGGATGGGAGGGTTAACAGGTAAGAGGTGCAGGCTTTCTTTTTGGGGTAATGAAAATGTTCTAAAATTGACTGTGGTGGTGGTTGCACAACCCTGTGAATATACTAAAAGCACTGAGTATACTTTAAATGGGTGAATTGTATGGTATAGGAATTGTATCTCAATAAAGTTGTTTTTAAAAAAGTGTATTTGGTTCCCCAGGATGCTCTTACAACATAAACACAAGCATTCAAAAACTTCAGCCTCAATATTATAATAGAGTTGTAAGACATCTAGTTTACTTAATAACCATAGAGCATCTTCAAATGGTTGCCATGGGTGATAATACTAAACTATGAGCTGCATATCACATATACATATTTTACATTTTAAATTAACATGTATTAGATAAAGAATATCTGACCTGTTTAGTTCTCTTAGCCATGAGGGCTGGACTGTTTGCAATGCTATTCCCAGTAGGGTGTCTACTAAAACAAAGTTTCAACTCCTGTGGTCTGTCAAAAAGCTTAAGGTCCAGTCTTGGAAAGTATTTGTAACTAAAATAAAGAGCAAAAATAGAACTGCTGATTTAAAATTCATTAACTCTTCATATTATTCCAGAATTTAGGTGAATATTTCTAAATCTTAAATAGTACCCAATATTATTCCCCAAAATCTGGATATAGAAAAATAATGTTTTTCAAAACTGTAAGATGACATAGTTACAAGATACACAGACTACCTGCATGGAAACTTTGGCTTCCTCCCCACCCTCTAAGTTATTTTCACCCAAACCCTGGAAAACAGAAAATCCTGGTATCTTACTTAATAGAGGAATTAGTAACTTTCAACAGAAACCATGTGTTCAATAATAATTTATATTAAAAAGTAACATTTAGTATACTTTGTAATTTTGTTTTTCTTCATAAAAGTACCTTGCAGTGGTATTTAAGAGGAAAAAAAAAAATCCATAAGATTTTTATTTTAGGGATATATCTTAATTTCACCATTCTTTATTGTTGGACATTATTAGGTTATTTCTGAATTTTTGCAATTAAAGATCTGTGTATTTATATCTTCGTGAAACTTTTGCTTAATGTCTTAGGGTAACGCCCAATAAGAGAGTTTGCTATGGTCAATGTTTATCAAGAGCATGAAAATTATTATAGTCACTATCAAATTATTTCAAGAAAGGTTACACTTATATACACTCTATATAGTAGCATAACCTATTTTCAATCCGAAAGATTAAAAATGCTTCAACTCACCATTCTGGTTTGCATTTCTTTGAATACTAGAAAAATTTAATATATTTTCATATTATTAATTATTGGGATTTCTTCTTGGAAACTGCCTACTTACTGCCTTTGGCCAATTTTCTTCTGGGAGATATTGCCTTTCCCTATTTGATTTACCTTACACATGGATTCCATCCAGTGTATAGAGATTAAACCAAAGTAAAAAAAACAAACTATAAAATGTAATCAAAATAGCACTTAATTAAGCCACTAAATTTCAGTATATACTCTTCATTCTTATGCAATCTAGGTGAGATAATATATTAATTCCATATTTTTGGAAGATAATTATTTTATACCCCCTTTGCCTCAGATATTCTTTTAGGAATGCAGCCTAAAAAAAAAACCTATATGTATATACACAAGGATATAGATAGCAAAGAACTGAAAAAAAAAAAATCCACAAGAGACTAGTTAAACAAATCACAATAAATGCATGCAATATGTTCATTCAAAATGATTTGGCACAACAATATTTGTTAGCATGGAAAAATGTCCAGACCACTAAAGGCAGACACAGGTTACAAAGAGTATGTACAATATGAACTCATATTTGTTTTAATATAGTAAATGCAAATTTATGCACAAAAACAGGAAAGATAAACATACAGTTGTTAACAGACATTAAATACTGGTACTTAGATGATGTGCTACTTTTCTTTTTTGGTTTGATTTTCTAAGTTTGTTAAACTGTGTATTATCATAATTATAACAACAAGTAATAATCAAATACATTTTAATTTCTTAAAAGGTTCCCATCCAAATTCTATTCTCCAAGTTTATTTTTCTTATTATTTTTATTTTATTTTAAATCCCAGTGTAGTTAACATACAGTGTTGTATTAGGTTCAGGTATACAATATATTCAACACTTCCATACATCACCTAGTGCTCATCATGGACAAGTGCACTCCTTAATCCTCATCACCTATTTTAATAAATGATTCCTGGCGTTCTACTTTTAAGTTTTCCCTGGTATCTTACTAATGAGTAAGAATTTCAGTCTTTACATTGACAACAAAACCCCCAAACATAGGAGAAATCGCACAAAAGTAAGCTTATTCTTCTCCAGAAGTGAAATTTTTAAAGATTAAAATATGATTAAATGTTTAGGTGAACAGTGATCAACATTTGGCTTCCCTTCCAAAAAGGCTGTCCAATTTTTAAATTATAATATCTGGTAACATCTTTGTATAATATTCATCTTCATTAGTTCACCGAATTAATTTTGAAAATGACCTTCACAAATGACTAACATACGTATCTACTAATAATCACAAAAGATCAAAATAAATTATTAAAGCTGAATGCAAACAGCAATTTAAAAAAATTCCTGCTACCTGTACTTTGGTGACAGATCCTTTCCATCATCAGGAGATGGCTCTGGTGGCATTACGAATACAGTGTGCTCACTTTTCTGTGAATCATCTAGCTCTATCAATTTGGTATCTTCGGCTGAATCACAATCAACCTGAAAATAATTATTTTCTCCAATTAATCTGCATACAGGCAATATCTAGTTCTGAAATTTTAAAACTTAAGAAAAAATACCTTATCCGTTTTCTCTGTGCCTTTATCAGGAAACAACTAGAAACAAAGAAAAGAATTCTTGGTGAAAATGTCTACTGTGAATTTATTAGAGATGATCTTAAATTCTTATTTTAAAAACTATCCCTTTTTAATACTGGACAGACAGGAACACTTCACATATATTTTGGGGGCCCTACACTGTCAGGTTAACATATAATATTTTTCTTATGGCTATTAGGAGAGAAACAATCTATTTTAAATAGGTTTTTCATAAATGCTTCCCAAGCAAAAAATGGCCAGTCACGAGGGGAATCTGGCTTCTCAAATCAGAAATCTCACTGTTATTAAAACCCTGCATTAGAAATTGATACTACCTAAGCTTCCCTCTAACTGGATGATGTCAGACTATCAATTTTATAAGTAACAAAAACGTTGAATAGTTTTAATCTTATCCCCGGAGTTCTAGATCACATTGGTAGAATGGGAGAAAATCATTCAAGTCCTCTAAGGAGACTACAAAAATTATGTCATAATATTCTACCTTTTTTAGATACAATCTCAAATTTTACATACTATGGCTTACTTATTAAACAAATCAGCCCCAAGATTCACTCAGCAAAAATAAAAAACTCTATTAAAAATGAGGGGAGGGGCGCCTGGGTGGGTCAGTCATTAAGCGTCTGCCTTCGGCTCAGGTCATGATCCCAGGGTCCTGGGATCGAGCCCCGCATCGGGCTCCCTGCTC